CTCCGGCCGGGCGCGCAAAACGGCGACGGGCGCGGGCAGTAACTCCAGGGGTGGCCAGAGGGAGTGTAGTCAAAGTGGCAACAGTTTATTTATTAGCCAAAAATATATACTTTCTTGTACAATTTGGTTCACACATATGTACATTTTTACTGTATGTACAAAAAAAAAAAAAATCGAAACACCTATTTCTCACTGGACTTCCAAAAAACCTCACAAACTCTGCTAATCCAGATGATAGTACAGAAGCGTTTTTTTCTCCTTTTTAGTTTTAATATACGGACATGCTTACAAGTTGTAACTATACAGAGATTTCTTTTTTTTACAGTCATTACAACAACAATAAAAAAATTAACTATGATGATGACAACGCTGATAGAACCATAGCTGCATCAAGTTGGTTCTGGGGCCTGGAAAAAAAATGACATAGAAGAAATATTTAATAGGCTTTTTAGTCAGACTGGGCCAGCACAATGTTTTTTAACTTTAGGTAGGACTGGTTTTGTTGTTGTTGTTGTTATTTTTTTAAATAGATTTCTAAATATAAAAAAAGTTTAAGAGTGTCTTATACCAAATTTATTTAGTTACTGAAAATATCACGGGCCCAATCCTTGTGTTTTTACTCAGTCGAAAGTATAACTGATTTCAAAGAATGCTACGCCAAACGAAAGACAGGAAGGCTCAGCCTCTTACGTTTTCTTAGCAGCTTTCCATTTTTTAATTTGAGTTATTATTTCACTATTGTGCACTTGATTTCCCCCTATGATTTGGAGAGTATCGGGGGGTTATTTATTTGGTTTTTATGCAAGCCTAGTGTTTGCCCGAACTCTCTCTGAAATAAGGCCGGTGGCAACCAGTTTTGACGCGCTCCCTACGCAGTCTGACAGAAGCAAAACAAAACCCAAACAACAGTCAGCAGGCAGCTCAAGCAGTGCGAGCGCAACTTTGCTTTCCATGCGGAATCGTTCGCAAAGTCCACAAGAATGAACAGGAAAAAAAAAATCATAATAACCCACCACACATTCTGAGGCAGAAAAAGTTACCGCCCTACAAAGAGAACTGCAGAAGTGGAGAAAATAAGCTAACCATTTACAACTCTCTCTGTATATCCTTAGAAGACTGAGGAAGTAATCTCTTACCGCCTCTGAACTGGCTGGAAAGCTGTCTTTATTAACTTTTTCTCTACTTCCAAGGCACTAGATCGATCTAAAAAGAGAAGAAAAAAAGTGTTCCTTTATAGCCCCCGTTTTATTTTCTCCCCCATCCCTGAATTAAGCCACTAGAGTTAAGATCTCTTCTTATCAAGTTGCAAATACGACAAAATGATTGTTTTACTGCAGAAATGACGGTAAAAAAAAAAAAAAAGAATAAGAAGGAGGAAAGGGGGAAAAAAAAAGACAAGAGCAGCTCTTACGGCCGGGTCTTTCCCACAAAGAGTTGCAGCGCCGGCGATTTTAGCAGCAACAACAACAGCAACAAAAATCTCCGCTGGAGGAAGGTAATTTTTAGACTCACCAGACGGAAAAGCGCCGCCGCCGCCGCCGCCGCGCG